TTTAGATGGAATCCAGGTGGATTTCGAAACTGAAGTCTCATTTTCATTAAATCTAGTTTTTGCATTGTGTTTTTTTCTGCCATAGTGTCAACACGGAAGAGTGTTACCATTCTCACACACGCACATACACACATACACACACACACACGCACACACACACACACACACACACATATATATATATATATATATATATATATATATATATATATATATATATATAAATGTGTATGTGTGTTTGTGTATATATACATACACACACATATATATCTGTGTGTGTGCGTTTGCATGCGTATTTATATATTTTATATGTGCTTGTGTGAGACATTGCTTTCAATTATGAAGTGCAGTTTAATCCTAACTACTTTATATTTGGCTCTGTGCGAGTGTTTCGTGTTATTGGTGTACATGGGAAGTTTTTATTCAATGGAGAAGCATTAACAACAGTGCTATGGCTAGATAATAAAATCACCTTATGTGTGCATGAGAATTGCTGGGTAATTGTCTTTAATGATTGATAAAAGAGAGAGAGAGAGAGAGAGAGGAAATGAAGGATCCCGAAGCACATAAAGACATCTCAGAACCTATCTTGTTCCCCGATAGGTTCGAGAGTGTCAGGGTGCAGCAACGTCACTGTCGGCCTGTGAGGCCTCATCACGTTCTTGGTCAAGCCATAGACGCCCATCGGGATGAAGATGATAAGCATGAGGACGAGAGTGAAGGCGAAGAAGCGGACGAGGTAGCGGTTAATCCTGACGATGCGTTCGCCTCCGTGGCCCAGGGCCGTCGGCTTCGGCTTGGCCGGGAGGCTAGACACGGAGCGAACCCTGACGAAGGTGCCCATGGAGGCCGAGGAAGAGGTGGGCGTGGCTATGTCCTGGCGCAGCTCCTCGATGTAGATGATGGACAGGATGATGAAAAAGTCCTCGAACATGAGGGACATGAACCACACGTCGATGAGCTTGAAGTAGGCGGTTTTGGGGATGGATTGGCTGGTGTCGGTGAAGAAGGTGACGAGCACGAGTAGCGAGGTCAGTGACACCATGATGCGGTCCTGCGGGAAGACGACTGGCCTTTAACTTACTGGGATAATCATTAGCATCATTGATATTATGAACATCATTACTGCTACGATTTTTATGACCATCAACACGAATCGAGAGACCACTAACGTTGAAGTCGTTGAGGTCGAAGAAGAGCGTGACGTAGCACAGGATCACCAGCATGAGGCTCGGCATGAAGATGTTGCCGATGTAGTAGCGGAACTGGTTTCGGAAGCGCAGCTCCAGCTGGGAGGGGATGAGGGAAGTGAAAAGGCTATTAGTCCTGGAAACTTTTGGTGCAGAATAAGTGTTGGTGATCCTTTTCCCGTATCATGCAATTGAAGTGAAGCTGTTGAACCTGCTGTTAACTTAATAACCAGTGTTCATTTGATTTGACAGAAAGAGACAAATTAACTTTCTTATATTCTTATAAATTCTATATAAATACGATTAATATCATATACATCGTAATTGCCTAAAACAATTCCTTCGAAATCTAAAAGAATCAAGGCAGGCAACCAGTAAAAACCCTCTTCATTTAATCACACAGAGAACTTTTCCGATCGTTCAAGACCACTAGAGAAACACCTTAAATCACATAACAGAATGACCTCTCTACGAACCCCAGCGTGACTAGCGTTGTGGTCGAGGTAAGGCTGGTAGTGCGTCCATAGTAAGTTGTACTCCAGCAGCCGCCGATTTCCTTTGTAAGATGCTCCATCCCCGTCCTGTAATGCACAGACCCTCGATTTATATGAAATGCTGCGCCCATTCAAAAGAAGAATGAATGATTCTCTTTTCGTGTTTCACTCTACGTAGGGAATGAGAGAAAAATGTTTTATTCGGTCATTAATAAGTTATTTTTCCAACTATATCGTTGCAGAAAGTACTCTGTGTGCAAATATTAAAATCCATGTTTAGAGATTATGAAATAAAAATAAACACTTGTAGAGATTACACAATATCAGCACCCACTTTTAGAGACTGCAAAATGTTATGATCTGTATGTAATTAAAAGATATGAATACCACATATATATTATACTAATGTCCACATTTAATTATTATGTTGATTTAACTAATCATTAAAAAAAAACATTCCCCTCTTTTCTCATTATTTTAGTTTTCATTCAATAAGTACGCTTACACTATATGATAATCTATACGATTACAAAATATCAGAATCCATTTGAAGGCAATACAAAATATCAACACCGATATTTAGAGATTACGTTAAACAGATCATTAAAAACCTTTTTTTTCTCACTACTTCAATCCTCGATCCACAGCCACGCTTACTTTCACGAAATATCCAAGTCTTAGATCGTAGTCGTAGATCTCGACGTTAAGGTAGCATTCTTGTTGGTCGAAGGGGTACATAACGAGGTCGAAGTGGCAGCCGAAGTGTATGGTCTGCTCCTCTTGGAACATGAGCAGGTTTTTATTTCCGTCGTACATGTTATCTATGAAAAAAAAAATAGATAATTAAAATATAGATATATATTTACTTATTTATTGTTTGTTTTTACTTATTTTGCGAGGGGACGAATGTAGTTAATGCCAAATTTGTTCTTTTCCCTTTTTTCTTACGACATAAAGTGAGGGAAGGCAGGAATGACATGTGAGCATATAAGGTTTATTGAGGACAAGAATAACTTCACAAAGAGTCCTACACTATTCATATGTTGGGGGCATATCATATCAAAACTATGTGAGACCTGACCACTTAATCAAGATACGTAAACATATAACTAGCATACCGTTTTAATTGGTAAATCTACAGTAAAGCATATAAGTAAGCGTAATGATAAAATGAGCAAATATTTGAAAACAAAGACTTGGTACTCTTAGTCTGAGAAATCGTTCAATGATTTTACTTGACATCACCTTCCCCTGACATCAAATCTAAAGTAATCTATATTACTTGAATTGGTGAGAGACAGTTTGGGAAATAGACATTCATTGAATAGACTTTCAATGGCAATTTCAAGTAATGTCGTAGAAACTTTGAAAGACCGATTCTCCTCTAAAAAATACACTTAACCAATATTCCGTTTCTAGCTAATATACCCACTTCTCTCGCATAAAATCTGAGTAACTAAACAATATTACTTTATCGCATGTAGCTCCACTAACCGGCTACTATTCATTTTCTAATGCAGAATAAGGTCACTATATTTTGAATGTTTCGAAATATCTGCAGCTGCCGTGGTTTCATTTTGCAACAGTGAATTTCATACGTTACGGTCCCCACACACTATCAATCATGGCTGCACAATCATGGTGACTGAACCATTTCAATCATCGGCTTTGGCCAACACTAGTAATAAGACTGTCCAATCATCAGTTTTCGTATGTCGTTCAAGTCAAGATGAGTAGGGACACTGCATGTATGGCCATGGGAGAGCATATAACCAAAGAAAAAAGGAAAAGAAAGGTGTGGATGATGATGTGGGTCTATTTTCTCTAGTTTTTTTTTTCTGCGTATTCATGATTGTGTTCCCTTTCAAATTTCTGTTTCGTATTCATCAATTTTGATCTTCCACAGTGCCGGGAGCATTGGTACAGTCCAAGAAACTCCCGCCAAAATTCTTGAATGTCTCTTGTATTCATCTTAAAGCATTTACACAATCCTTCAATCATACCGAGACACTATGGATATGATCGCACGATCATTATTACTGCGCACTCATGATTGATAGAAGTGTTTACAACAATCTGTTGCAAGAACGTTTAGGGGACCATCAAGGCTAACTACGATTTCATAAGAATGATCAGAAATATTTTTTTTTAATGAATTCTTGCAATTAGTGATCCCACTCATTATTATTGAGGTATATTTGTTACAAGAAATAGAAACTTTGTTACTTTGAAGAGCCTGGAAGCCATGCACGTGTAGACAGTGGTGATCTCAAAACCATTATCAAATGGAATTCATTGTAGAAATAATAAGCACACAAAATTACAATATTGATTTAAAATTCATATTCACTGAAATATACTGTTTAAAACTGCATAAGCAAAGGATTAAGTAATTCTTATTAGACGAAAAACTACAGTCGCCAATTCCGAACGATTCATACCGTTTGACTCAACCATCAAAATTGCAGGGGATGAGGATTATGCTAACTCGAAGGCTTGAAGAAGTGACACAGTTAATATTACTACCAGACAGTTGTCTAAAAAACACTTGTGACCTTGGCTTTAGTCGATGGATAAAATCAAATATCCTCTTCTTGCAAACAGTTCTGATAGATGAAACCAGGCAAAGGAGGAAGTAATTGGTGTCATGTATATATATTTATGGTAATTCTTACATATGTACATTTATGCAAGCAGATAAGCAGAAAGAATGCTTTGTCGATTTACAAATATGAAAAATGGCAATAAATTGACAAAATGACAAACAGGCAGCAACACACATACCTTCATAGATGGTACTGTCGTCATCAGGAAGCGGCTCAGAAGACTTGAACACAAAAACGCCTTTGTTATCAATAGTTCTGGAGATGAGACCGCGCGTCCCATCAACGATCTTGAGGTTGGGCGCCCACACGTCTTCCCAGTTGTCCAGCTTGTTTGACCGGCGGTCATTTTGGAGATTTCTGTACTGTAGTCTTGTGTCAAGATACTTTATTTCAACAGAAAGGTCAATAGATATCCGGAACTTCTGCAGATCAAGTGAACGGATTGTCCGGATCCTGTACGCAGTGTAAAGAGGAACCGGTTCGCCGTTGATCCTCGGCGGAGGGAGCTTGTTGGAGTAGCCCTCGGGGATGGCCACGCGGTTGCACTCCCGCTCGTCGCTCTGGTCGCTGCAATCTAGGGACAGGTCGCAGCGCTTCGACTTGGGGATGCAGTGGCCGTCGGAGCACGTGAACTCGTTGACCTCACACGCCGTCAGAAGGAGGCTAGGCTGTAGGAGAAAAAAAACTTCACTGGAAGACCATGAAGTCAC